GTCAAGGCAAGAGCAGTAACCACTTTATTCCACCAGGTGGCCTGAATCCTAATCAGGTGCAGCTTTACACATTTGTATGGTTAGTACCTTGGAGTGCGTCCATCCATCCAACCATCTTCGTCCGCGTAGCCGTTACCGGGTCGTACACTTTGGAGTACGTCTAATTATTAAGTATATATATGCAATAATAATATGTAATGCATTTTAGTGTCATGGCCGCCAGAGAGCATACTTTAGAGGATGTCATATGTGTGATGTCACAGATGTTCTGACTCTGTCCAGTCAGCTGGTTTTGATTAGAGAGTAAATATCCTTTCTGTATCAGCTGTGTTAGCACCGTTAGCCGGGGCTTCACCTGTCGTCTTCACCTGTCGTCTTCACCCGTCGTCTTCACCCGTCGTCTTCACCCGTCGTCTTCCGTGTTTCAGTTGTCTCAGTGTCAACAGATCAACTAACCAAATATGCATTTTATTTTTGCTTTAAATTACTTTAGTGATGTGAAAGTTTTCTTTGAATCTTTACTGTTTTGATAACGCTCCTCACAGCCCCCGGTGGAGCTGCTGAGTTACTGCAGTTACAGTTGACCACATTAGAAAACTAAGCATGTTCTGTAAGAGTTGACTCACTGGGAGGGACTGGAGAACTGTCCAGGGTTTACACCACCCTCACCCACAGATAGCTGGGATTGGCTCTAGTGCCCCCTACGGACCAAAAAGTGAATAAGATAAAGAATGGAAGGATGATGGAAGGATGCATGGATGGATGGGTGGATGAATGGATGGATGAATGGATGGATGGATGGACGCATGGAAGATGGATGGATGCATGGATGGATGCATGGATGGATGGATGGATGCATGATGGATGGATGGAGGGATGGGTGGATGGATGGATGATGGATGGATGATGGATGGATGGATGGATGGGGGGATGGATGGATGATGGATGGATGATGGATGGATGATGGATGGATGGATGGATGGTTTTGCCACACGACTACATACATCTGTGTATTTGTGGTACTACTGGGACCTGAACTGCAGTATTTTCTAAGTGCTGATAATTAATCATTGGTTTCTACCCATTAGTGAGGTAGTACTTTGTAGTAACTTCCATTTATTTGACCAGTTATTCTGGTTTCCCGTCTTTAACCCTTCGTTCGACCTCTCGATGGAGACTTTCGTCCCGACGCACAACAACTTGATTAGATTTTCCTTCTTCTTTCCCGGAGGTTGAGGAATTGGCTAATGAAAACGGCTTCGTCTCTGACTCGGAGCCCGTTCTCTGGGTGGTCTGTCCTATCGTTGCCCCCGTGGTGGGTTACACACCCACCTACAATAATGAAGACAGAAATAAAGGAGGATTACAAAGCCTGGAGGGCAGCCGCGGCGGAGGTGGTGTCTGCATTTCAAAATGGTTGCACTCGTGTTCACCACTCACATTTAACCAAGTATTTTTTTCTTCGTTTGAGCCCTTAGGACTCCCTCTCCCTCCTCCCCCTCCTCCTCCTCCCATTCCTCTTCCTCTCCCACACCATAATCCTCCCTCCTCTCTCCCATTCTTCTCGGGTGCCTCATCACCCCGGCTGTCTCATTTGCTGTGAGTGGGCCAACCTATAATGAACTCAACGGGGATCAGGTCTGAGCAGCTCAGCAGAGGAAAAAACGTGTTA